TCTGACTAATGTAACAGTTACATTCGTATAACATAAATAGACATACCGGAGAAAAGATCGTAGGAGATGGACAATGTAACCACGAGCGCGAATGTGAGCAACAGTTTTGAAGAATCCATTTATAAAATAAGTCTCTATGGCACTCAACTTTTTAGACTATTTGCACCCAAAAAAACTTTTTAGACTAATCTCTATTAACAATCCAGCCTCTATTATATATTCAAGATATAGGTTGGTGTGATTGAGGATGAAATGATCCATCAATTTATGTAATAAGGTCATTTTTTTTGGTCAAACTACTTAACACCTCCTCCTCCATGGATGGAGTGTAAAATAATAAGGTCATAACAATACATTTCTGTGGGTCTATCCAAGAGCTGAGTCTATCCAATTTTTCCTTTTTGCTTTCAGTTTTGTTTATAAAATAAATGTGCATCTTTGACTAAAAAATAAAGTATTTGTTTGCTCATCAGAAATATCTCATGTAAGGAAACAATCCAGCAATAGTACGACAACTTTAGAAGAAGGCTGACTAAACATTTGCAAGCTTTTGTATTCAAGTCAAAGTATTCTTCGTTTATTATGTAAATATTATGAACTAGCTCGTTTGAATTAATTGGGGGATTTCGCTTCTTTGACTAAAAGATAAATTCTTTGTTTGCTTATTAGAAGTATTTCATTTAAGGAAATAATCCAGCAATAGTATGAAAAATTTAGAAGGGTGACTAAACATTAGCAAGCTTTTGTATTCAAGTCAAAATATATCTTATAGCTAGTATGAAAAATTTAGAAGGGTGACTAAACATTAGCAAGCTTTTGTATTCAAGTCAAAATATATCTATTAAAAAAAATCATTCTAATAAATGTGTTCACATTGTAATTGACACGTGTCGATCTCATAATCATTTGACAATTAATGCATTCACACACTAATTTTTTTAATTCGTTATTTAATGTGTTTAAAAACTATTTTTAATTAATTTATTTCTCTTACATTTTTAGTCTTTGTATTAATAAATTAAAACTTTTTACGTGAAACTAATGAATAATATATTTATTGTAAAAAAATTACAAAATCATTAAGATTCGCATCAACTAAAATGTTGCGATGAAAATGTTTGTAGAAATTAAAATTTTCGTACCTTACCGAAATTGACATGGTTGAGACTTTGGTACACAATAACAACAAATGCGGTGATTGATTATGAATTAAAGAAACTAAGGTGAAAAACACCACACGTAAACTCGGATCTTTAGTTTAGTCAAATATTAACATTTTTATAAAGTTTTCATCACACCAAAAATTAGAAACAAAATCAAATTGGTAGAAGAAAATCATAAATCAAAAAAAGCTTTAAAAAAATAAAAATCACAAAATCGATTAAAAACAGAATTCAAGTACCAAATGAAGATGTCACTTTGTAATATATATTATTTTTATTGTTTACGGGTACAATTTGATTTTCTTCATATGAAAAAATGTTATTAATTACTAGGTTTGTTTATTTTTACTTAATTTTATTTAAGAAGTTACTATCATGTGTTATTTTGAACAAAAATGTTTTAAATCTTAATTAACGGTATATTCATATATTTATCATCACATTTATATACTTTTACATATACATACATGTACACATTGACATGAGCGATTATATAACTAAATATTCACCACAAGTGAGAATTTTAATTCTTACTGAAATTAATTTGTTTTTAAAAAATTGTAGTGAAATGTTCTGTGTTAATAATTTTATTTTCTTTTTCCTTCAAATATTATTTAGATTTTATTTGATTTTATGTGTCTCTAGAAATTATAATAGGAAACTATTAGTTCGACATAAAAAATGTGTAAAATTTATATAAAACAAAACCAAAAAATAACACTATTTTTTGTTATCATAGAAAAAAATTAAAAATATCAAACATTTAAACCAAATACACCAAAATAAATATAGATTTAGAATGATAGTTATATTTTAGGACGTTAAAAAAAATGTAAAGTTGAACCAATATACATGCTAAACAAACATAATATCATTTTTATTATAAAAATAACAAAAATAATAATCTCATTCCGTGCAAGACGCGAACTATTACCTAGTTATTATGTAAATATGATGAAGTAGAAGTAGGTTGTACGAATTAAGTAAATGAGGGAAATCGCTTTTCTAGTTCGCGTGATTTAGTTAAGTACTGTACACTCTAAGACCAATGTTTTTAAATCCTATCTGGACACTAAACCGGACGTTTTACTGGATCATTGGGTAACTGGATCGACCGCGGATGAACCACGGGTTAATAAATGAAACTTTATTATATAATAATATATTAGCTATGAAAATAAAAAATATGTAGATACTAAAGTTAAATATTTTATAAATGTTTTTAAAACATAAAATGTATAAATATACAAAATATCAAAAACTAGTTTAGCCTATTTAATATTTTTATAACAAATTAAGAGTAATGACATCTAAAAAAATCAAGATATAAAATTCATAATTAATTAAATGTCTAATGAGAATAATAAATTAAACTTCAAATCCAAAATAAACTAAAAGTAAAATTTTATTGTAATAAATTATCAATAACAAAAATAAACTAACACTAAATCACATCAATTAAATTTGGTTCTCGCTACCACTCTTCAGTTCATTTTCTTCAGGTGGTATAATGAAATCTTCATCAAAATCTAAAAATCACAGTTGAAGTAGTATAGTAAGTATTATGTATGATAAAAAGTCAGAAAGTTTAATCTAATTTTATAGAAGAAGATGGCAATGCCAATAACTAAAATGTGAAAACCTAACTTTTAAATTAGAAATTTAGAATATAAAACAGAATAAAAACATAAATTAAAACTAAAAAAAAAAAGTTTATTTATTGGTTCAACCAGTGGTTCAACCGGCTTCGGATTTTAAAATTTAGTGGGATTTTCCGAGTTTTTGCGGGTTTTTAAATTTTGGGTTTTTTAAATTATCCGAACCGGGTTTATTTTGGATCACCGGGTTTACCGGTTCAACCGAGGGGCCGGATCGGTTTCAGAACACTGTCTAAGACACTGTTTTTATCGTTCCAAACCTTGCAAAGATGAGAACAAAAAGGATATACAATAGAATATCTATAAATTAATATTTGATCAATTAATAATCTCTATAAATTAAATTTTTTTATCGATCTCCATTTGGGTCAGTTTTAAATTTTATACAAATTGATAAAATAATAAAATAATATTTGTTTAGAATATTCAATATAAATATATGGTCCCATTAAAAATATAAATTAACAATTTCTATGTATACATATTTTATATAAGTAAGAACCACTATTTATATTGTTTATTTTATAATCATAATTAATTATTTTTATATTTTTAACACTAAATATATTTTTGATGATATTTAGTAATATTATATCTAAAACCACATTTAAATTGTATGCAATATATATATTATATACACCAAATAATATAAAAAAATTAATATAAATGTCAAATTTCAAAAAATAATTATCAGTATCTATACATTAAAATCAAATATTTTTCTTAACTTAATTTAAATATATTTTAAAACAATCTAAATAAGAAAATAATTAAAATTAACATCTCTATTAAATTAATAAAATTATAAATTTCTAAAATTATTAATTTATAGAGGTTCTACTGTGTAATGTTGTACAGATTGTTTGATTCCTCATATAAACTAAAAAAAATAAAACTAGATTAGATTTCGAGGTGCACTTTGAAAGAGAAAGATTAGTTTAGTTGGCAAAATGTTGTTAATGAAAATTACAACTTTTATATAATTTCTAGTTTAAATTATACATATTTAAATTTATTTAAATGGCTTACTAAAATATTTTTAATTGAACTTATTTTGGGTTTTGAGGAAAATAATTATCTGCATTGTGCTAATTTGAATTAAAAAAAATAGATAGGAACAAATTATTTCAATGTGTCATTTTTTATTTTTATATTTTTTTCTTTTTTACAGTAATTCAATTATTATTTTATAAAAATAAAATATATATAGCGCATTTGGCAATAAAAAGTAATTGTGGAATTTTTAATTTTGCCACAAATTTTATACAATTTTCAAATTTACCATTAATGAATGAATATTTTTCTTAAATACCATAAATTTGTGATAAAATAACATTAAGCTATTTTTCTTAACATTTATAAAACATTTAGAAACTCAACTCCAACCTCTTACTACTAAACCCTAAGCAATAACCAATAAATCCAAATGTTATTATATTTTTGATTGAGGGTACTAAACTTGTGGTAATTTAGACAACTTCTCAAAGTAATTTTCAACGTAAAATGAAAATATATATTTACATTTATGTGTAAATTTTAATCTGAGTTATAATAAATATTAATAGTTTTCAAAAATCTATTTTAATTTTAACAAATATTTTTTTTAATTGTATATATTATCTTGATTTGAAACTTGTATATATCTATAGAATAAATTTTGATAAACTTTTTTATATTCTTTTATACATCTTGTATTTAATCAAATATTTATTTTTGGAACAAATCATAAGGCTTCAATCGTGAAAATATTAATTGTAATCTGATCCACCATATAATCATGATTCAAAATATAATATATTTATGTTATTTTATTTCTATCAAACAAATATTTTTTTCTAATTTTTAATATTCCGAATTTTTTTTTTAAATTAATGTTAACTATTACTTTTAAAAATATCTCCTTCTAATATTCTAAATGAAGTATGCTGTAAATTTAGGAATTTTTAATTTTTTGTGTATATTAATTTATTTGAATTTATTTATTATTCAGTGTAATTAGTTAATTATCCTTATTAAATATATATATATATATTAGAATCTTATTACGATATCATTTTTCCTAAAATGTTAAGTACAAAAATTTGAAGATTGGATAAGAATTTTAATCATACAAAATTATTTAAAATACTGTAATTTGGTTAAATTAAACTATCATGTATTTAAGTTTTTTTTTTAAATATCAATAGTTGTTTATATGCAACCTAATAATATATAATATAAGAGTACCTTTTATATAATATCTAATACAAGAGTACCTTTTACATAATTTATTATATATTGTGACCAACAATGACGAAAATATTTTTAATAAAAATGTAATCATTAAAACTTTGGTGATATAATCAGTAAATTACATAATACACTAAAAAAAAATTTGGTGTAGTAATACACTAAAGTTACTTACAAAGAATACTTTTTATTTAATAAATAGATTGCATTCCTTCAAAGTAACACTATGGTGTACACATAACAGAAAATGAAGCTACATTTTTCACTTTCTTGGAATCAGTTTGTAACATCACTAAATGAAGAAAATTAATTATTTAATATCCTGGAAAAGGCTTTGTTTATGAATTATATATTACCCAAGAAAATGGCGTGCTAAAAATACCTAAAAATTATAATTCATCGACCAGGGAACAAAGATGGAACTCACAAGCCAAGAAAAAAACATAGAGATTCACAAAACAATGACACTTGGAACATTGGAAGTAATATATATCATCATTACGAATGCAAGCAAATATCAAATCGAAGTCACAAACGACAGTCTTGGTAATTAAGTGACAAAGACTTTGCTTTTATTCTCATATTGTTATTAGTTCAAACACTTGGGAATATATCATTTTCTACAACAACAATACTTGGAAGAAGGAGTGATTCCAAAACCAATACAAGAACCATCTTTGTATGTCTTATTCAAACAAATCGTTTTGCACTCTTTGTCGCCAAGTTTAACAGTGCAAGGATTGAAGCAAAGTGTACTTGAGGCTTCCTCCGGTGCAAAGTTGCCTATTAAAAAAAATTCCTTAATAATTAGCACAACAAATACAATTATTTTGATTTATTTGATAACCATTTAAAAAGAATCAAATATTCAGAAAGCTTTAAGGAAAACAAGGGTTTGATAAATAGTTTGGAGGGTTGTTTTAATCAAATATTGATATTCATATCATAGTAAAATTTGTATCCACAATAATGTAGAAAATTGCAAATATGTATAAATACCGGGGACGATATCAATTGTTTGGCACTGAATGGAAGAAACCACCACGAGAACGGTGAAGGTGAATACAATCAACATTGTTGAGAATTTCATCTTCATATAATTTGATTTCAAACACGGCTTAACTGATTCTTGTTATATTTTTCTCTTGATTTATTAATTAGAAAGAATGTATTTGTCTATTTATAAATGCACCAAATTGTTTTGGTCATCTTCATGTTTATAAGTTATAACCATTAATTTTGTATATATTCATAAAACATATATAAGGTATGGTGAATTGACCATAATATACAATTATAGAATTTTGTGCTATATTTTTTAGTTATAAATCTTAATTAGATTTTTTTTCCCTTTTAGAACATTGAAAAATAAGTCAGGTTACTGATTTGGTGAGCAGGATACTTTTTAGTCATAGAAATCTTTAAAAAAAAAACAAAGTTAGTGAATTATATAGAGCCAAAAGAGTCCACAATGATGAAAATGACCAAAACAGATTCACTAAAAAGGTAAAAGAACTTTTTAACCTTATTTTATAGATGTTTAAATATACATAATTATTTAAATAAATAATAAAAAACTCATAGTAAATGTTTGTATTATTTTTTAATTATACATTTGGGAATTTTGAATTTTTTTGTTATTTTTTCAAATTGTTTTTATTTTTCTGAATTTTTTTCTTTTGAAATCTGATCTTTTCTGAAACTATCTTAAAAGAAATTATTTAAACTTTTAAACCATAACTATTTACTATGTCCCATCCAAAATAAACAGATTTTGAACAAATGATGACATTTGTTAACGCTTTGCAACTTGAAGATTAAAACGTTAAACAATATTTTAAAGGTTATCTTTCTAAACAAAACATAGTTGATTGACTTGAACAGTTAATACCCATTTTGTTACAGCTAAAATTGATTGATGATACATTTATTTCTAAGCAAAATTTTGTATTCAGCATTCCCATGGTTTCTCAGAAGAGGGCTTTATTTTCGGCACTGTATTCAGCATTCCCTAACTTAATAAATAAGCCAAAAGACAGCTCTTTCTTTGCTTTTTTTCTTATGAATTTACTCGATAGTCAAGTGACTGTGTGAAAGAAAATGATTAATAAAAACAAATGGATTAAGCAAATAACCAGTAGTAAAGTTATAATAGTTTTTTTTTACTGAAAGTTATAAGGTATAATAGTTCTACGCTACATTTACAGTATAGTTGTACATGACAGATTATATTAAATTCTTACATTATAAAAGTTATAGTGCCAATAATAGATTTTATAAGTATAGTAGTATATCATGCATATGAAATACTAAAACAATTTTTGCAAGAATCTACATCAAAACCCCTGATGAAGATTTCACAGACATCGCGGATTATTTAGATTTTAAGTAAAATTACAAAAGAATAAAACTATATATTTATATGATCCTAGCAGTAAAAGAATAATCTTTATACATAATACTTACAACAACGAGAATAATCAGTAGAAGGTTTGTGAAAAAGTTCATGGTATTGAATGCAACTAGCCAACTACCACCCCTAAAAGCCATTTCCAAACACCGTGTGTTGCACTCCATACTCTGGTACCATGCGCTTAATCTTGTTCCAGTTTTTGTCTCTTTACAATAGTCAAAACACGTCTGAGATTGAGCATTTATTTTCATCTCTACAACCATGAATCATCATAAGAAATTGTTATTGGAAAAACATACCAAGAGGTACACTAGTAATATTGTAAAAGTACAATGAAACACACCACAAAAAAGGTCATAGGAAATGGCCAACGCGACCACCAGAGAGAAAGCAATCAAGTATTTGAAAGAACTCATTTTCATACTCACTCCGTAGCGCTCGAACTTTTGAAACATAATATGGTTTGATGTATATAAAATATATATATATATATACACATATACATATGACCACCTTATTAACAATAATCTATGCTTTAACGCCTTAAGAGCAATAAATTCTATTAAAAATATTAAGAGCAATAAATTTTATTATCTAAAAACATTTATTTAACATATTTACCAAAAAAGTTAAATTAAAATTATGGCTTGAATCAAAAATAAACTAAATAAAGTTTAATTATTAAAGTGAGCTTTAAAATGGTTACATCATATTTAGATAAAATGGTCCAGATTTTTAATATATGGTTTGATGTAAAAGTAAACAAAACAGATTTATATTACAAGTATGGTTAGGGTCCAAAACAATAATTATGTTTTAAAGATAGAAGGAGCAAGTCATATCTGTTATAATTATGTTTTGATTAAAAACCCCAATTAAAAGAGCGTTTATTATACAATTATATAAAATAGTCCAAGTTCTTCAGATATGATTTGATATAATAATTAATATAATAATAAAGAAAGAAAAATTAAATAAATAAATTTCTCACGAATAACAAAGGAGAGGTTACATTTGTTAAAAAAAAAAAAGGAGAGGTTACATAATACTTAGAGGTCTTGTAACATAAAGTAAATTACGCTTTTGTTCTAATATCGTCATATCCTTAACTTCTTCCACGCTGTGTGAGACTATTCAGTCTAACACCGATCACATGTTTAATGTGCTTTGTGTTTCAGTCCTTTCCTTGTTTAGACGGTTGGGCGAAAACATAAGTACATTGGGCTTGCAACAGATGTATAACAAGAAGTTATTATAACGGTTCAAGAGAGAAAATATCATCGTTTTCTGCATGCGGTTTACAAAAGAGTGAGAAGTAAGTTACAGAAGAGAGAAAAAACTTGAGAAAAGAGAGCTCAGAGACTATACGGAGATCAGAAAAAAGAAGAAGTGAGATCAGGAATTTAGCTCATAGTGTCATCACTATCAAGGATCGCAAGATCGGTGGTGATTCTTGTTCTAATTAAGTCGCGGTAACTTCTATCATAGTTGTAAGTTGTAACGCTTCGATACTCTACATCGTTGAATGTGTTTTGAGGATAAGGAAGTTATACTGAGCTTGAGGGATACAGATTTTTTTTTTTTTTTTTTTATCACCGAATTTCATTAAAACTAAAACAAGAAACATGGCCCAAGAGTGGCCCAAGAAAGTCATTACAATTCAGAACCCAACAGGGTCTGCTTAGCCAAAGAGTCTGCCTCTTCATTGTCTTTACGTGGAATATGAAAAAACGAGATAGAATCAAAACCAGAAGAAATTTCTTGGATGTCTCTGACGATACCCATTATCTCTTTCATCTGGTGTTCGATGGTGATTGCTCTTAGGAGTGTTAAATTGTCGGTGAAGACCTGGAGCTTTGTGAAGCCCAAAATCTCCGCCATACAAAGACTCAATCTCACCGCGAGTGCCTCGGCGATCAGCGGAGAGCTGACAAAGTCATGAGTAGTTGATCCTTTGTGTGAGGTGCTGGTTGAGATTCCTGAGAAGATCTAGGCGAGTCCCGCTTTCCTTCACTTCTTGTCCCAAGCCGCATCAGTCTTGCATGTGATGGTAGCTTCCGCCTCTATTTGCCGATCTTAGGTCTCCTTTCTAGAAGGTAGTTTCTTCTCCTGGTTCTATAGTTTCCCTTCTGCTTGGGCACTCTTCCACTCTCTTGCTAGCCCTAACCCCTTTGATGCAATTTCCTCAGGTTTAGAGTTTCGGTTTTCAAAGATTAGGGTGTTCCTGTCTTTCCATATCGACCAACAAATCCATGGTAGCACATTGGAGGTGATTCCTGTTGGTGGTAGGCAAACGGCATTTCTGAATTTGACGATGACCGATTTAAATTCCTCTCCCACAGCTATGTGAACTGTATTCTTCAAAGGTACCAATTCCCAAACTTTCCGCGCAAACTCACAGAGGAAAAACGTATGTAGAGGTGTTTCATTCTCCTTACATCTTGGGCATACAGCCTCTAATCCCATTCCTCTTCTATGTAGGTTCTCCCCCAGCGGTATTGCCTTTTGGAGGATTGACCAGAGAAATACTTTCATCTTAGGCGAGAATTCTCCATTCCATAAGTCTTTAATCCAGTGAAAGTCCGAGGGAGTAACCGGTGGCAAAGTTGGTTCTGCTCCTCGTGAGGACATAGCATTGTAACCTGATCTGGTAGAGTACACCCCTGATACTAATGGTTGCCAGATGAAAGAGTCCTCAGCTCCTGTTGAACTTGGGTGTATTCCTTTGATGATTGAGACGAGGTCAGGCAGTAGCTCGTTTATTCTCTGCTCGTTCCATCTTAGGTCTGTTGTGAGTAAATCTGATACTCTTAGATCTAATGCTGCTTCCGATGAGTAGTGACATTGGTGAACACAAAATAAGTAATCTTTGTGTGTTATGTTCTCGGATTCACTGAAAAACTCATTGAGATTGGAATCGATCATTCGAGAACGAACTAAGATCTTGCAACATAACAAGAAATCATAATAGTGGTATTAGAGCACTACCTACATGTTCAAAGGTATATATGGAGATAGAAGGTTCGTGGATCTTAGGGCTTGTTGGTTATTGAGTTGATTTCATGTTAAATTTTAATCATTCGCAGTTGATTCATTTATGTAGTTTATTTATTTAAATATTTTGTAGTTCATGATAAATTAGACACATATCTATAATTCGAAATGAAAATTACGCATAAAAAAAATTAAGCTAGAATAACCATCTCCTCTCAGATTTTCTTCACCTTTATGATTTTAGCAAAATATATATTGATATTTGTTTTGTTAAATAACAATCACAATTATCTCATAATAAGAAAATAATTTTCTGGAAAAGTACAATAAATGCACTGATAAAATTAGATATTTATATGAAATTCTCACAAAATGTTTTTTTATTCCAAGGTATTTAAAGCATAAAAATATTATTGATCAAAGAGAATGGAGTTATTTTGGGTTACAACAACAACGCCAAAAATAGGGAGGGATGAGTATAGGGTCATTGCAGAAACCATCTTTATAAGACAATCCTCTACACATTTTGTTACATGCTTGATTATTAAACGTTATATTACATGGCTTGTCCTTGAAACATTCCTGAGGCGGCACTATCGCGCTAATTCCTATTCCTACAATCATACAAAGTAATTTAAAAGGCAGAAACAAATTAAAACCAGTACAACTTCAATATGTGATTAACGTAACAATAATTAAATATAGATAGACGACATACCGGATAAATGATCATAGGAGATGGACACTGTAATCACCAGCGCGAATGCGACCAAGAGCTTTGAAGAATCCATTTTTTAAATGTCTCTCTCGCACTCAATTTTTTTTTCTTTTAAACTATACCAAGAGTTTTTTTTTACTAATGGCTTAAACTATACCAAGAGTTGTCTTCCTTTTTCTTAGTATATATACAGTTTGATGTAAATTGAAAGAGAATCAAAAAGAGAAATTATAATTGGAGAATTGTCATGAACTTAACTTTCTCAGATTCATTCCTTGTTTTCTTCTTATTAGTGAATCTTTAATCAATGCATTAAAAATTGTCAACCATACTTAAAAAACTATTTAGAAGCAAATCCAGTTATTGACGTAGTAATACAATGAGGTAACTAAATGTTTTTTTATATTTTCTATATCAAATGCAGAAAGTAATCTTTTCCTTGGTTTATCTATTCTATTAAAACAAAAATACAAAACAATACTTACCTACCTTAAGTAATTTTTTACATAATTTTATTATATTTTAACAAATTATAATCATTTTATTTATATTTTTTTCTAGTTAATCATTTCATTTATTGTAATAATTTTATTTATTATACTAGGTTAAGATCCGCGCATTGCGCGGAATGAACATTATATATATCTATTATATTTATATCTATTATATTTATATGCATTATATGTTATAAAATAATAAATATATATTGAATCATTCAAAATCAGTAACTATTACGTCTATAATTAAATTGGTGTGCAAACAGAAATAAATTTCAGTAAATCAAATATCTTTTTTATGTGATATACAATTAAATTTAAATGATATTAAAGTATATATTATGTATTTTTTTGTATTGTTATATACTAAATGATGTTTTTCATTCCTATGATTTTTTGATCATTTGTGTTTATAACAATTGAAATCGCTAATAACAAAATTTTACTGTGGAATTGATAGTTTTAGCAATTTATAATTTAATAATTTATAGTTTTTTAAAAAATCAAAATATAACATAAACAGAAAAATCTAATTTTTTACTTTTATGGAAAATATTGTTGTTTAATTTATTCGCTAATTTAAAATTAAACAAATATTATAGATGATATACTCATTTTTATTATTCAAAACCATTAATTTTCATATATATTTCAGTAACATTAGGTAATTCCTTATTTCATTTAAGGAAAGAAAAAAGAACATTAATGATAAATTTTGGCTAGATTAATAAAAAGTTTATTATAAACATAGATGGACCAACCTTTTTTCTAAGGATTTCTAAGACTCATTATGGTAATGACACATGACTACCAAAAATGTTGTAATGTTTCTCCTTTAATATATAGGGGATTGCCTAAATATGAGAACGTTAATAGTTTCTTGGTACAATGTTAAGTTATGTACATTAATATGATAAACCTCTTGAGAGTATATAAGGATATTTATTTTGCATTTAGTAACTGACTTCTAAATTTGAAATACAGATCAGTATCAAACTTCAAATCCACTATCTAAGTTATACTACAAGGTTAAAAATTCAAAGTTTATATATACAACCATTTAATTCACTAATGGTTCTCGTATATACGGCACATATTCTTTTTGTCCACAAAAAATGTTGTGTTTTTATAAATGAATTAACAACACTTACCAAAAACAATTTTCATTCATAGTTGTTAGTATAATTTGAATCATCAATTGAGATGTTTCATGATTCAAATTTTAAACGTACCACATCTACAAATGCGCTAGATTAGTACATATTTGCTTCTATCCAATATATTTCTTTAAATTTAAAATTTGTATAAAAATAATTGAAAATTACAAATGTTTGGATTTTTTCTTCTATAGGAAACTAACTTATATAAGCTGAAAAAAAAAACTGTTCTTAAAAAAGGAAACATTAATTGATTTTACAATCTTTCATCTATTGAGTAAGCCTTTAAACTTTGCAGACTTCTTTTTGGTTTTTTAACGGCAGACTGTTTTTTTTTTTTTTGTAACTTACGGCAGACTTCTTTTAGCTAAAAATAGGGCTACGGTATTTTGTCACTTTCCTTATCAAGGCACTACTGTGAAAAACGACTTGAAGCTAGCACTGAGATTGACGTTAGGTGCGCGTTCAAGCTTCTATTTAGAAACGATTACGCACTGCAAATCAAACAATGAAAGATAATCTCCGTATGGCTTCGAGCCCATGTTGCTTTCAGGTGTTATCATAATCGGCTGATCCTATCCCACGCATGCCTTCACATACCTAAACTTTTTATCGCACTGATATAGATGGGTGTCTAAAAGTTAAGTAAGTTAAAATTGTATATATATTAACCATAAAAAGAGGATGAACCCGTCAATTTGTTACATTTGCTTTCGTTTTCACGAATTGCTAGTTTGTTATTGTAATCGCCGTTGCTATCATTCATGCAGATAAAAATTGTTTACTGTCTTGGCTGGTTAGTGGAAGTAAGTATCTAATTAAGTTTTGATCTTTTTGAATGGGTAAGAAGTAAGAACCCATGAACATGAAAATGAAAGAAAGTAAAGAAACGCTAAACAATTTTTAGTTTGCAAATGGCCATGACAGTAGTGATGGGTGCCGTTAAGAAAATTATATTTTGACTAAACTAAATCAAACAATTATCACCAGCATCTCACATGTACATATATAGAGAGAACAAACATTATTCGTCATTTAAATATTTTTGCTTGATACTCAGTGGTTTAGGACAGTAATCGTCTTAGTAGGCTTAATTAACTAAACAGCTGTGTTATAAGAATCAACGCATGTGGCATGTCTGTGATTTTTATATCCATATAGTTCTTTCTATAATTAGTCTGTCGATAATTACTTGTAGTTCTATTTCCTTTCTTTGAAGCTTTTTAGAAGGAGACCAGGAAAGCATTTCTGATTTGCTTAAGAAAAATGATTGATATAAATGGGTTCATATCAACATTTGGTTTTGGTCGTCTTTTTTCGGCCAACTATGTGTATTGAAACTTAGAATATGAACGGCTGTCATATATATGATAAAAACAACTTTGCTGATACATCTAATCCATCTATACTATTAAAAGAGAAGGAGTCTAAATAAATCTACTTAAAAAAGTTGTTTGGACCCTTTCATTAGACTAACATTTTTAGTCTTTCCTTATATTTCTCTAACTATATAAATACTTTACAATTTAAATAAACTCATTTATTACTTTCCATAATCTATTATAAAATTTCTCTAACAATAAATATTCATGATATTA